AGGAGAATAAAAACGGGAGGGTAGGCCCTTGCAGTTCTTCATACATTTGCCTTTGTAACGCTAAAGAAGATTATGATTTTCTACTGAAGTTGAATTTTACATGTGGATTTTTCTTTTTGTTTTAGCAAAAAGTATAAACAAATCTCATCAAAAGTTAATGACAAGCTTTGGAGCGGAACCATTGCCAGTCTTTTCAGTGTAAATCAATAAATACTTTTTGAGGTAGTTTTAAAAGATATGGCACTGCGTCAAACACACAGACACAGCAGTTTGGCCTAATATTGCTTCTGCTGTATCTACCTGAAAGACTGGCGCCACACTCTGGCAGTCTTTCCTCCATGTTGGGGGAAATTATAGCGATGGCTGATGTGGTTCCTGACCATGAGAAATTAGCAAGAAAGTCCCAGTTTGTATGGCAGATGTACCTGAGGTACCTAGCCAAGGACACAGTGTAAGGGGGTAGAAGCTTTTCCAAAATGGAGTATTTTCCGCTGCATTATTTTCTGCACACAAAGTAAAAAGGGGTTTCATAAGAATAGGTGCCAACTGCAAATTAGTATTAGGCAAGCTGCCAGTTTCAAAGTTTTTAGCTTTGTTTACTAACTGCAAGTAAAATAAACATGCTAACATCATTTCCAAGGGCATCAGAAAATTTTCTGACACCAACTGAACATTTCCCACTGCAAATTACTTGGTTTTGCATAGGATTCCCCCCCCCCCAATTCAAACTTTTACATAAAACTGACACCACTGCCAATGTCAAAGGTAGCTCAGAGGTGAAGTAAATGACCTTACTTAAAAGTCTTGGGAGTTTTGCCAAAATCAAGGCTTGCTCCTTTCCGTTTTTAGGCTGTAGTGGGAAAAGGTGTAGTGGTATTTCACATTTGGAGGGGGTCCAAATACTGCTGGTACAATAAACCTCTCCTGAGAAGTTCCTAAACCCTCTCTAAGCTTTAGGTTTCCCAGGACAATCCATTGCTCTGCTACAGATCTCAACTTCCATCTAGCTAACAGACGATAACAGCTAGGGCAGGAAAATAACCAAGATTATCCAAGGTCAGAATTCCAGTACCAGTGCACCAGCGCCTTCATTTCATAAGAAATATGGTGCTTGTCACCAGGAATTACTAGATAGGTGGTGGTGGTATTATTATTATTATTATTATTATTATTATTATTATTATTATTATATTTATTATATTTATCGTCCGCCCATCTGACTCAAACTCAAGGAATACAAGGGGGGGGGAATCTTATAGTGGAGATGTGGCTGCAATGAAGACATTCTAGGATACAGTCATACCTCATGTTACGGTTTTTCAGGTTGGGTCCCATGGCGTCCCAGAAGTCCACATGCGCATGCATTCGCCGCATGCGCACAAGTGCCAAATTGTGCCGCGCACCTGCGCAGATATGGAGCTTCAGGTTGCGCGCTTTTCATGTTGCGAATGGGCCTCTGGAACGGATCCCATTGGCAACCAGAAGTACCACTGTATTTCAAAAACTAATCATGGGGAAATTAGCATTTTGTTAACGGAACACTACCTTGTGTGAAGAAATCCAGAATAAGTAGGGACAAGACAAGAAAGAAGATTCCAACTAAACATCAGGAAGAACTTTCTGACAGTAAGAGTTGTTTGACAGTGGATCAGTCAGGAGGTGGTGAATTCTCCTTCCTTGGAGGTTTTTAAGCCAAGGTGGGGCGGCCATCTGTCATGAATGCTTTAGCTGAGATTCCTGCATTGCAGGGGGTTGGACTAGATGACCCTTGAAGTCCCTTCCAAGTCTACAATTCTATGACTCTAAGACTCAGGCTGATGAACAGGCTGCACCAACCACTTACAACATGAAAAACAGATGTTGTGGACATGCCCTAAGCCACTTTTTCCTAGTACATACACAACCATCACAGCAAAACAAATGCACATTATGCTTCTCTGACAAAGTTATTCTAGATGGCAAGTCCCCATGCTGCTCCATAATGAAACTAGTTTACCCATGGAAGTTACTTAGCTGGGCCCGATCCTGTATTTTGACAGAACAATCTTGGATGCTGAATACTTTCGCATAAGCCAGGAAAATAAGCCTTTTGCCAACATTCAAAAAGAGAACAGAGAAAGAGAAAATAAAGCCTTTTGAGAGGAGGGCAGGTCAAGTCCTGTTTATCACTGATCAGCAGCAGATGACCCATCACAAAGCATAATGATGTTTCATTCGACACAATCATGTTAAAATCTAAAATGTTTGCATACTTCCACAAGCTCCAATGATCAACATTTTATTGGGTCTATACAAAGGCAACCAGTTCAGATTAAGTAAACTACATTATTTAAACTAAAAATGAATAATAGATATGCATAGCTAGAAGGAATTAGCAAGCAGTACTCTCAAAGGGCCCTACTGTAATTTTAAGACAACCAAGCAAAACAAACAACAGCTGTACTGTCAAAAGTTCAATACAGGTTTTTATAGCTATTTTTTTGCCGTCTGTAGCTCATGTCAAAGGAAACAAATAATACAAAAAGTAGCTGAAAACAAAAATAATCATTTGGCACTATTGTGTACAATTGGTTTCGCTGCCTCATACAGTTGGGCTGCATATCATATTTTTACTATATTATCTTGTTGAACAACATGCCGATTTTATGCTCAAAATTTAAACTAAGTATTTTTAATATGTTAAATAAAACATCCGAGCTTTATACTACAGAAATTATGACAAAGGTTAGATACAAAAGTGATAAAGATAGAATGGCTAAAGGAAGAAAGTTAAGCTGCTTTATACCACAGACATTATGACCAGCAGTAGCAGGTCCATCCTGACCAGCAGAATTATTTAACAAATTAATTTAATTTCTTATTCAATTCCTAGCTTAAATCAACCTGCAGCCTTTAACTTAAAAGTAGCAGTAGGACTCCTTGTCTTTCAGCATTTTGGCTGGGACAGCTCAGTCAGTAGAACAGAAGATTCTTAATCTCATGGTCGTGAGTTCAAACCCCATGTTGGACAAAAGATTCCCACATTGGATTAATGACCCTCATAAGGTAAAGGTAAAGGGACCCCTGACCATTAAGCCCAGTCGTGACCGACTCTGGGGTTGCGGCGCTCATCTCGCTTTATTGGCCAAGGGAGCCGGCGTACAGCTTCCGGGTCACGCAGGGATTCGAACCGCCGACCTTCTGATTGGCAAGTCCTAGGCTCTGTGGTTTAACCCACAGCGCCACCTGTGTCCCGTAATGACCCTCATAGTTCCTTCTAAATTTAAGCTTATATGATCCCTACAATGACTTCAAACCCAGACTGCACTTTCTAGGGAAATTTTTCAACATGTACAGTGGTGCCTCACAAGACGAAATTACAGTGGTGCCCCGCAAGACGAATGCCTCACAAGACGAAAAACCCGCTAGACGAAAGGGTTTTCCGTTTTTGAGTTGCTTCGCAAGACGATTTCCCTATGGGCTTGCTTCGCAAGATGAAAACGTCTTGCTAGTCTTGCGATTTTTTTCCGCTCCCCCCCTTTTTCTAAGCCGCTAAGCCTCTAATAGCCTTTTAGCCGCTAAGCCGCTAAGCCTTTAATAGCCGCTAAGCCGCTAATAGCGCTAATCCGCTAATAGGGTTGCTTCGCAAGACGAAAAAACCGCTAGATGAAGAGACTCGCGGAACGGATTAATTTCGTCTTGCGAGGCACCACTGTAATTCATTCCGCGAGTTTTGTCCTTGCGATTTTTTTCGTCTTGCGAAGCACGGTGTCGGGAAAGTTTTGGAAAAGCTTCAAAAATCACCAAAGTCTTTAAAAACCTCAAAAAAGGCTACCACACCGCGTTCTATGAGTTGCTCCTCGAAGTCAAGTCGCAACTGTATTAACGGTGTTAAGAAAAAGGAAACAAACTTGCAAGACGTTTCCGTCTTGCGAAGCAAGCCCATAGGGAAAATCGTCTTGCAAAGCAGCTCAAAAAACAAAAAACCCTTCCGTCTAGCGAGTTTTTTGTCTTGCGAGGCATTTGTCTTGCGAGGTACCACTGTACTTATGAAGTCGCCACACCCCCAGCAATTGAGAAATACGTAGTTCTCTTTGCAAGTTTTCCCAATGATTCTCTTTGTGGAGTCATCTCCATAAACTCATACACACGGAAATCTCAAGCGGAGTATGTGTTAAACCTGAATATGAATCATGGGGCTTGATGGATGGCCGCAGGCTTGTCACTGCATCTCAGCCTTCATTACTCATGTTATGCAATCCCAGTAATTGTTATCTCACTTTATGTTATTAGGCTATCTGGGTATTAATATAAAGCATTTTTCTCAGTGAAACTCCTAGGTACAGCCAGCTAATGATCAAGGTGAACATAATTTACAGTCATGTTAAATTAATAGGAATAAAAGGAATAAAAACAGCATAAAGGAAGATACAAAGGATCTTATTCTTTTATGGAAGTATGCCTTTTAAGTTAGTCCATAAAACCCCACCATTCTCAAACCAAACAAAGACGAAAGTTATACATAAAACTGATGCTTAAAAAAGAAAGTACATAAAATCAAAACAATGCAGCAAAGAGGACACACACCTCCGATTTTAACACTGGATTTTCAGAGTATATGAGAAACGTAAACAGAGAGTCTTGGAGCATATTAAAGTTTAACAAACTGATTGGGACATTCGAGCTCCCTTCCTCAGACTCATGACCTGTTCCTCTCGGCTGGCAGAAGAGGAGGATGGAGAAATAAAACTGTCGGCAGGGGGCCAAAGGCCGCGAAGGCGAAGAGGCGCCGCCTGCGACATTTCAACTCTTTCGCGGAAAGGTCCACAGCTCCGGGGAAGGGCTTCCTCCGCCCGGAAGGCGAGCGCCGCTGCCGCCCGGCCCCCTCCGCGCCAGGCGGCTCCTCCGGGCGCAGCCCCGCGCCAGCGCCCCCCCCCCCGCCCACTCACCCGAAGCCACGGCGAGAGCAGGGCGGGCGCGCGCAGCAGAGAGCCCCCGCCCCCGCCCCCGCCTCCTCTCACCGGCATCTCCGCGGTCGCCGCGCCGCTTCGCCCGGGACTGGCGGGTCCCCCTCGGAAGCGACGCGACTTCCCCGCCGGACTCCGCCCGCGCCCCGCCCCCGACGCGGCTCAGCCTCCGGCGCCTCCCCGGGAGCCGAGCGCGGGGCTCCGGCCGAGGCGAAGCGGCGAGAGGAGGAAGGCCACGCCGGGCGGGAAGAAGGGAAGCGCGCGCCTGTGGAACGCCTGGAAAGGAGAAAAGGCGGCTGGAGGGCAGCAAGCCAAGCGGGCTTAGGAAGCCATGTCGGCGGCAGTCGCAGGCGCCGAGTTGTTTTTCCTCGTTAAAACAGACTTGACACCATCGAAATCCACCAGAAACTCTTTCAGATATCTTGTTTCGCGAGCCCTCATCCTGAAGAAGCAAAACAATGGTCACTGTAACTACTGTACATTTGTTTTGTCTCCCTTTATGCAATAGATATACACTGGCCAGAGCAATGCTGAACAATTGCAGTGCAGTAACTAAGACAACAAAGTGGTATTTTAGCACCTATCCAATGCATGCCCTACATATTTCCCTCCTAAAACCAATGTCAAGTTACTTTCAGAACAGGAAATCAGTATTAGAAGCCAATTATCAAGAAGGAAGTGTGTGAAAATACACACACAATACACACACAAATATGCACTTAATATAAAGTTCACCCACACATACAAGTTCAGCCCTGCTACATACTAAAAAGGCCTTATCCCACAAAGCTCAGTGGCCAATTGTAGAAGATGGGCAAGCTCACCTGGCATGGGGCACACAATTTCTATTCCCAGAATTGGAGACAATAGTTGCTTTAGTTACACTTAAGAGGAAATGCAGTAATTTTATTGTGTTGCAAGGTCAAGATCCCATCCTGCATTCTCCAGGGTCCTGGTCCCATTTCACTGCTGAGTCAGCACCGAGGGAGCCTTTGCCTCGTCGTCCTCCTGTGGCTGCAGCCACAGATCTCAGTGCTGTTGCCTCTCAGCAGAGGCAAAGGTGCTTCTGGTTTCCGGCTTATCCCTACTATGCCGCTGCCCTCTTTCCCAATGGCCTAAGCTCAGGAAAGGGAGGACTAAAGGATAAGAGGAAGGGCTGACAAGTAGTAGGGGAGTTAGGGATATTATCTGGAGTCATCTTTCCTAAGAAACCGGACAATGAAGAAATCAAACTCAGAGATAGTATGGCTTCTTAGCTAATGAGGTTTCTTAGGAGAGATAACTCAAAATAACTCTTTTTCATTACTTGTCAACCCATCCTCTTATGCCATAGTCCTTCTTTCCTTCTCTCCCTGGGGTCATTCCGCATCAAATCAACGCAAAAAACAAGGGTTTCATCACCCACAATCTCAGATTTTGATGAAACTTGGTGTACACCCTTGTGGTTGAAAGAAACCCCCTTAATTTCCCCCCCTCTCAAACGGTTTTAATTTCATAGTACTTCAAAGTTTCATGAAATCTGCGTTACCCTTGGCACATGTACATTTTACATGTATTAACATAATATCGTATCTGAATAAGTGTGCATGCACACGAAAGCTCATACCAAGAACAAACTTAGTTGGTCTCTAAGGTGCTACTGGACTATTATTTTATATATATATTTCTAGCATAATATTCGCTGGAATGCGAGTGGCGCTGTAGGTTAAACCACAGAACCTAGGACTTGCCGATCAGAAGGTCGGCTGTTTGAATCCCCACGACGGGGTGAGCTCCCGTTGCTCGGTCCCTGCTCCTGCCAACCTAGCAGTTCAAAAGCATGTCAAAGTGCAAGTAGATAAATAGGTACCGCTCCGGCAGGAAGGTAAACGGCGTTTCCGTGCACTGCTCTGGTTCTCCAGAAGCAGCTTAGTCATGCTGGCCACATGACCCAGAAGCTGTACACAGGTTCCCATAGCCATTAAAGTGAGATGAGCGCTGCAACCCCAGAGTTGTCCGCGACTGGACCTAACAGTCAGGGGTCCCTTTACCCTTTTAACATAATATTGGATATTATAAGTTTTCCCCTGAAAGTGCATACTATTATGTTAATTTTTATGATGAACAACTTTGTTTCATTATTTTTTTCTATTACAGCTATGGATTGTAGGAAAGTTGTACCCAGTAGCCATTTTTCCCGACGATGTCCAAAAAAGGTAAAAAAATTGTTAACAGGGAATAAAAAACCCATAAATTTCATTCTTTGTCGAGAAAGAGTATATCTTTGTGATAATTTTCAACATCAAAAACTTTGAGTTCCATCATACCCACATGCTGAAAATTGAGGTTTTCTAAACCTAGATTTTCCACCCAAAAAAAGTACATTAATTATATATATTTTTTGGCATTTATAAAATCTTTTGAATGGTGTATTTTTTCCTGAAATCCTCATCCTCTTATTGAGCTCTGTGTAAAATTTCAAAGAGATCTGATCATTGGTTATGGAGAAGAAGAAAAAATGTACACGTGCCAAGGGTCTCAAGAGGAACAGACAACACAGATTTCACGAAACTTTGAATTGCTATAAAATTAAAACTGTTTGAGATAGAAGGAAAAAATTTAAGGGGGTAGACCAAGTTTCATCAAAATCTGAGACGGTGGGTGACATGACCGTCTTGACATGATGTGGAATGACCCCCTGACCTCAATGGTGTCTCCGAGTATCTTCTATGAAATTGATATTTTGTGGTGCCCACAACAGAACAGCGTTTCCATGCGCTGCTCTGGTTCGCCAGAAGCGGCTTAGTCATGCTGGCCACATGACCCGGAAGCTGTACGCCGGCTCCCTCGGCCAATAAAGCGAGATGAGCGCCACAACCCCAGAGTCGGTCACGACTGGACCTAATGGGCAGGGGTTCCTTTACCTTACAACAGTTTAAGTTTTACTCAGAGTAGGCCCACTGAAAATGAACATGATTAAATTAGGTCCATTACCGTATTTTTTGTCCCATAGGATGCTCCGTCCCATAGGACGCAACTAGTTTTTTTGGGGGGAAATAAAGGAAAAAAATTCCTTTATTTCCCCCCCCCCAAAACCAGGTCGGGGAACAGCGGTATGGGAAGCTCTGCCTCCCCGCTGTCCCCCGAGCTTGTGGTGCTGGCCGATGTCTGCCCGGCGCAAGGGGCGCTCTGCTTCAGGGTGCCCCACACGCCGGGCGGCAGGCTGCTATCCGCAGCCTGGGGAGCCCTGCGGGATGTCCTGCAGGGCTCCCCACGCTGCGGATGTCTGCCTGGCGCGAGGGGCGCTCTGCTTCAGGGCGACCCGCGCGCCGGGCGGCAGGCTGCTATCCGCAGCCTGGGGAGTTCTGCGGGAACTCCCGTGGGCTCCCCAGGCTTGCTGATAGCTTCCTGAAGCGTGTAGAGCAAGAGGGGTCGGTGCGCACCGACCCCTCTCACTCTCCAAGCTTCAGCGAAAGCCTGTATTCGCCCCATAGGACGCACACAGATTTCCCCTTCATTTTTGGAGGGGGAAAAGTGCGTCCTATAGGGCGAAAAAGGGACGCGGGTGGCGCTGTGGGTAAAACCTCAGCGCCTAGGACTTGCCAATTGCATGGTCGGCGGTTCGAATCCCCGTGGCGGGGTGCGCTCCCGTCGTTTGGTCCCAGCGCCTGCCAACCTAGCAGTTCGAAAGCACCCCCGGGTGCAAGTAGATAAATAGGGACCGCTTACCAGCGGGAAGGTAAACGGCGTTTCCATGTGCGGCTCTGGCTCGCCAGATGCAGCTTGTCACGCTGGCCACGTGACCCGGAAGTGTCTGCGGACAGCGCTGGCTCCCGGCCTCTAGAGTGAGATGAGCGCACAACCCCAGAGTCTGTCAAGACTGGCCCGTACGGGCAGGGGTACCTTTACCTTTTTATAGGGCGAAAAATACGGTAATTTCAGTGGCTTTCCTCTGAGTAAACATAGCTGAAAACCATCCTTTGATTTCTGAATGTCCCCCATGGCCCAAAAGACTGGATTCCCCTGGTATAAACCTGTGAGGCCAAATGCGTAAACAAAACAGAACCTAATACTAGTTGATAATGAATAGTTATTATTGTGGCTAAATCTGTGCTTACAATGAGCAACACTGGAAGAAAGAGTGTCAACACATCCAGTCTTGCCACAACTCTACATGCCTTATTTCCATTTCAAAATCACAGTAAATATAAATCAAATCTAAACTACTGCTTCTAAGTTATAGGTGAAGGTTCAGTTAATCCACCTGTGGAAGCCTCATGCCAGGTTGGATATGTTAAAACTGCAAACAGTGATTACCAGTTGGGAGGAAGTAACAATTTGCAAGTATGATGAAGAATACCATTTGCCCAGAGCTATCCCCTGCAGATGGTACAGCCTTAAAATCCTTGGTAAGGTAAAGGGACCCCTGACCATTAGGTCCAGTCGTGACCGACTCTGGGGTTGTGGCACTCATCTCGCTTTACTGGCCGAGGGAGCCGGCATACAGCTTCCAGGTAATGTGGCCAGCATGGCTAAGCTGCTTCTGGCAAACCAGAGCAGACACGGAAACGCCATTTACCTTCCTATTTATCTACTTGCACTTTGACGTGCTTTCGAACTGCTAGGTTGGCAGGAGCAGGGACCGAGCAACGGGAGCTCACCCCGTCGCGGGGATTCAAACCACCGACCTTCTGATCAGCAAGTCCTAGGCTCTGTGGTTTAACTCACAGCACCACCCGCGTCCCTAAAATCCTTGGTAGTGGGTTCAAAAATAGAATTGACCAGGCCTGCCTTCTGCAGGTATGCCTAACTGATAAGAAGACCTGCTGGGGACTGCTCCCATCTGACATCAAGACAACCTCTCATCATTGGTCAGTTGCCTGCTTTGAATGCAGTCCTACTCCCTGCCCCCACCAAAGGAGAAGGTTCGTCGTCTGGGGGTGTTCTCCATTACCAGAGGCCCAGGTGACCTCAGTGGCTATGTGTGTCTTTTACCAGCTTCAGTGAGTGAGACAGCTATGGCCGATTCTGGATCAGGTCAGCTTGTCCACAAGCTGCAATGTCCTCTCTGTGGGACTACT